AAGTGTAAGAGGAGGAGAAGAAGAGAAAGAGAATAATGGTAATAACAGTGATGACGATGAGAAGAAGAGGAAGAAGTCGTAATAGGATGCAGAGGGGGTTAAAGAAGCGGATAAAACAAGGATGTTATTGGCGACGGCAGCTGTTCAACCCTCTGTGCGCCATTGTAAAAAAAAGTAGCGGGTGAAAAGAAATTAAGAGAGAGAGAAGGAAAGAATGAAAGAAGACGGACGCTGACGGACCAAGAGACGAAGATGCAAACAGAAACGGCACTCTCTGTTGGCCCGTCCTTTCTTCTTCTTTTCTTTTCTGTTTCTTATTATTGTTATTTTCTTTCTTCTTCTTCTTCTTCTACTTGCTCTTGTTTTTTTTTTTTTCCTTACTTCTTGTTCTTCTGCTTTCCTTGCACTTTGTTGTTGTTGCTGTTCTTCTTCTTCTTCTCTTTCTACTAATTCTAGTTCTACTTCTTCTTCTACTGATTATTATTATTAATTATTGTTTTTGTTGTTTTTGTTGTTGTTGTTGTTGTTCTTGTTTTCCCTCTCCTCTTCCATCCCACCTCCTTTATTTTCTTTTTTTTTTTTTCTTCTTTTTTTTTTCGGCCTCCCTCGTCGCCCTAAGTCGTGGATGAGACCAGGCAGTCTTTAAGATACGGGCGACGCAAGGAGCCCCGACGTAACCTTAGGAGATATCTCTTGAGGGTCACGCGAGGGGTTGGGGTGGGGGAGGAGGGAGGGGAGGGAGGGAGGGAGGGAGGGAGGGAGAAGGGAGGGAAAGGATGGGAGGGAGGGAGGGAGAGAGGGAGGGAAGGATGGATGGGATGGGAGGGAGGGAGGGGAGGGAGGGAAAGGATGGATTGAGGGGGAGGAAGGGAGGGGGGAGGGAGGCAGGGTGGGGTTTGAAATGCGGGGGTTGAGTTGAGTTGGTAATGTACTGGGTTGGGAGGGATGGGAGTTGTGGCTACGTGGTGGGTGAGGGGAGGGAGGGGAGAGGGAGAAGAGAAGGGGAGAAAGGGAGAAAGAAAGAAAGAAAGAAAGGGAGAGAAAGAAAGAAAGAAAGAAAGGAGAGAGAGAGAGAGAGAAGAGAAGAGAAGAGAGAGAGAGAGAGAGAGAGAGAGAGAGGAGAGAGAGGAGAAAAGGAGAGAGAAGAGAGAGAGAGAGAGAGAGAGAAAGGAGAGAGAAAGAAAGAAGAAGAAAGAAAGGAAGAGAGAAAGAAAGGAAGAGAGAGAAAAGAAGGGAAGAGAGAAGAGAAGAGAGAGAGAGAGAGAGAGAGAGAGAGAGAGAGAGAGAGAGAGAGAGAGAGAGAGAGAGAGAGAGAGAGAGAGAGAGAGAGAGAGAGATAGAGAGAGAGAGAAAGAGAGAGCGAGGCGGAGGCTATATTTATATACCTTTTCCCTTTCCCCTTCATGTCTCCTTCCATTAATTACCCTTTCATCACCCCTTATCTCCCCCTCTTCGTGACTCTTGTTCCTCTCCCTCCTCGCATCCTCCTCTTGGGAACGCGCATCCTCTTCCTTCCCCTCCATTTCTTGGGTTTTTCACCTTCTCTTCCCCCCCCCTCCTATCCCCTTCCCTACCAACATCCCTCCTTTCCTCTCCTTACTAGGACACCTCCACTCTCCCTCTCCTCGGCTGATCTCATGTACCCCTCCCACCGTCCTCATCCCCACCCGGCGGGTCCTTACTCCCACTCCTCCCCCTCCCCACCGTCCCCTCTTCCCAACCCAACGGATGCTTACTCCCTATGTCTTCCCTCCCCCCCTCCCCTAGTGTTTCCTCCTCCCCTCCCCCTAGACTCCTACCCTCCCCTAGAGTTCCCTCCCCCTCCCCTTGTGTCTCTCCCCTCCCTAGAGTTCCCTCCCCCTCCTCCTAGTGTGTCTCCTCCCCCTCCCCTTTCCTCCCCCTCTCCCTAGGGTTTCCTCCCCCCCCTCCTCCTCCCTCCTCCCTCTACCCCCCTAGCGTCCCCCCCCCCCCCGGTGCATTGTCTTTAATTTAACATAGAAAAAAATCGTCCCGAAGGAAGCTTGCATACTTTTTTTTGTCTTTCCTTTTCTTTTCTATTTTTCTGAGACGAAATATATATTTTCTGTTAAGAGCAGAAGTCGAGAAAACTTTTATTCACTTTTTTATGATTAGTGCGCAGGATAAATATTGTTGTTGGTTGTATAATTATTAATAACAGTCTATTAGTTGTAAAAGCATCATGCTTATACTTACCATTTATCAAGGCCTTTAGTGCTATGATTATCATTATCATCATAATTTCATCTTTTCTTCTCGTGTTTTTGTTATCATTATGTTTATCACATTTGGAGAGCATTTTTTAGCATATTTTTTCCCCTCTTCTTAACTTCCCCGCTTATTCTGACGACGTGGAGATGCTGATGTGCGTGGGAGATAAAGTGTGATGCTGGCAGGTCTTGGAAGATTACTTGTTAATTCAAACTTTGGGATGATTTATGCCACAAAGGAAATTGGCTTTGTTGATGATTTAACGATTTGGGTGTTGTGTGTTTATGGTATGGGTATGTGTTCGTTTTCTTTCTTTCTCTCCTTATCTATATCTCTGCTCGTCTTCTTTCTCTCTCTCTCTCTCTCGTCTCCTCTCTCTCTCTCTCTCTCCTCTTCTCTCTCTCTCTCTCTCTCTCTCTCTCTCTCTCTCTCTCTCTCTTCTCTCTCTCTCTCTCTCCTCTCTCTCTCCTCTCTTCTCTCTCTTCTTCTCTCATCTCTCTCTGTCTCTCTCTCTCTCTCTCTCTCTCTCTCTCTCTCTCTCTCTCTCTCTCTCTTCTCTCTCTCTCTTCTTTCTCTTCTCTTTCTCTTTCTCTTCTCTCTTTTCTTTTCTTCTCTTTCTCTTCTCTTTCTTTCTTTCTCTTCTGCTCTCTTCTCTTCTCTTCTCCTTCTTTCTTCTCTTCTCTTCTCTTCTCTTCTCTCTCTCTCTTCTTTCTTCTCTTTCTCTTCTCTTCTCTTCTCTTTCTCTTCTCTTCTCTTTCTCTCTCTCTCTCTCTCTCTCTCTTCTCTCTCTCTCTCTCTCTCTCTCTCTCTCTCTCTCTCTCTCTCTCTCTCTCTCTCTCTCTCTCTCTTCTCTCTCTCCTCTCTCTCTATATTATATATATATATATATATATATATATATATATATATATATTATATATCCCTCTCTCTCCCCCCTCCTTCCCTCCCCTCCCTCCCTCCTTCCCTCTCTCCACTCCCCCACTTTCCCTCTCCGTCTCCTTCACTTATTCACTTACCACTTTCTCTCCCTGCCTCACTCTTACTCTTTCTCTCGCTTTCCCTCGTTTGATCTCCGTATTCGCATGCATATTTCTACGGGCGCTGCGTGTGTGTGCATATCCGTGTAATAACCATGCACACTATGTATAGCTATGTGTGTTTGTCTGTTTGCATAGCGCATGTTTATTTTATGAAATAGATTTGCTCGGGAACATCAAGGTGGGCGTCGGCAGACAGGTAGCGGTGCGTGTCAAGGTGAACCTGCCACGGGGCGATCTGCGGGTTCGTTTCTCGTCTTGTCTTCGCAGATACAAAGCCTTCTTCTCCTGCTTTTACGTCTTCGTCGTCCCCTTTCTTCGTCTTGTTATTATTCGCCTCTTTCCCTTACTTTCTCCTCCTCCTTGTCCTTTACTTACTTCATTCTCTCTTGTCCTTTATTTACTTCATCTTCCTCTTCTTTTCCTCTTCTTCTCCTTGCTCTTTCTCTTCTTACTTTCGCCATCCTTTCTTCCTCTCCTCCTCTTCCTCCTCTTCCTCCTCCTCCTCCTCCTCCCTTTCCTCCACCTCTTCCCACTTCATCCCTTTATTCCTTTAAATAACCGTCCTTTATTCAAAAACTTCAACACCCCCAATTGCTCATATCCCTTCCCTCCCCTCCCTCCCCTACCACCTACCCCCTCCCACCCTCCCTGCCCCCCGCCCACAGCCCGTCCCGCCCCCGCGCTGGAATAGTGAAAACCGTGGCCCTAAATCCCCAAAAATTAGCGCGATTAAATATGCTGTCCTCGACTCGGAGTATCTTATTTTAAGGAGTACTCCTCGAGAGTATTGTGGTAGGGGGGCGGGTGGAGTTTTGGAAAGGGAGGGGGGTTTGAGGGTCAGGAGGGATAAGGGGAGGGGTTGGGGCCAGAGGGGAATGGGGGGTGGGGAAGGGGGTTGAGGGGTTCAAAGGGATGTGAAGGGAGGGACCTGTAGGGAAGAGGGGAGTAGGGTGGAGGTCAGCGAGGTGAGAATAAAGGACGGAGAATAAGATGGAGGATAGAATGGAGTGAGGTGGTAGTTGTTGGTGTTTATGGTGGTGATGGTGTAAGGTAAAAGAGGTGGTGGTGAAGGGGAGAGGAGGAGGAGGGGGGAGGTGGTAGTGGTGTGTGGTGAAGGCGAGGAGGTGGCAGATTGTGGTGGTGAAGGAGGAGGTGGAGGAGGTGTGGATGTGGTGAATCGTGGTGTAGAAGAGATGAGAAGTAGGTGGAAGATAATTAGAGCAGAAAATAAAGACGAAGAAGAAGAAAAAAGAAGAAGGAAGAGAGGTTTATCACGGTCACTCCCAGCACTCTGTAGCGAGGCAGTAATGCTCTCTCGGTAAACCTATCTTGGGGATACTTTGCGTTGTTGTTGTTTGTGGTTCGGGGGGAAGGGGAGGGAGGGGTCGCGTCCTTTATTGATAGCGCTTTGAAAGGGTCAAGATTTTGTTCTTTTTCTTAGTTATTATTTTCCTTTCTTCCTTTTATTTCTTTATTTATTATTTTATTTCTTTTTTCTGTCTGTGTTCTTTTCTTTTCCTTAGCTTCTTTTTCTTTTTTTTCGGTGATTAATGTGTTGACCTTTCCTCCCCTTAGTAACTTGTCCGTCGTTTTCCTTCCTCTCTTGTCGGCGGTTCGACGGACTTGATCTGGGGCATCTCCATTTCCGGCTTTCAGTTTAGGAGAACATGGAACCGCAACGTCGTATCGCATGTCCCGTTAAGGTCCTTGGAGTCGTCTCATGTTGTCCAGGTACGGTAACCAGTCCAGATCGTTTAATTTTGTCCAGGTACACTACCAGCGAAGTCGTTTTCATGTTGTTCAGGTACAAGTACCAGCGAGATCGATCATGTCCAAGTACACTGCCAGCGAGTTTCTCGATCGTTGTCCAGGTACATCGCCAGCGAGTAGTCGTTTCATGATTTACCAGGTACTAGTGCCAGGAGTCGTTCATAAGTTGTCCAGGATACAACTACCAGCGAGTCGTTCTCATGTTGTCAGTACAGGTTTCAACAGCTCACCAGCGGATCGTTTCATGTTGTCCAAGATACACTACCACCCATGTTTTTTTGTCGGTAAACAGTTGACAAAAGGAAGAAAGAAAGAAAGAAAGAAGAAGAAGAAGAAGAAGAAGAAAGAAAAAGCAGACTGTGCACTTGCTGTGTGTCATTAATTATGTCTTACCTGACGTATACAGGAGGGAGGGAATGCGATGTTGCCCGGTGCCGTTTTCTGTTTATCAAGGGGCGACTGCGCGTGATTTGTGGTGTCTAGACTGTACATGTGTGCATTCCGTCACCCCCGACTGTGCGCTGGCTCTTGGGGAGATTTATGGTGTTTGTATGGTGAGGCTGATTTCAGTTTGGTTCCTTCTTTTTAAATGAATTGAAGGGGGTTCTTCGGGGGATTAGAGTGAGAGAGAGAGGTTATTGGCAGTGCGGTTGGGACTCGGAGGACTGGCATGCATATGGCACCGGCGTGGGATTATATAGGCCGTGCGTGGCGTCGCTGCACCTGTGGAATGGTTTCGCCTTAATTAAATGCGTCCGGTGTAACAAACGCATTGTGGCCCTCGTGCCCAGGCCGTCGGATGCCAATAACACCCCCATGTCGCAGGTGCCACCGAGTGCCAGCCTTGCACAGACTCGGTACCGCGTGGTCGAAGTTCAGACTAGATTCAACAAGCTCGCACGCCCTATTTTAGAGCTCGTGCCTAAGGTTTGTAGGCCGTTAATGAAGAGAAAATATATTCGGCGCCTCGGTCTCCGGTGGCGGAATGGCAGCTTTAACGCCCCTTTAACGAGGGTCATCGAGGTGCTTGGTCGAGTGGAATGACCTCGCTGGCACTCGTTCGCTCGCGCGCCGCCTCGTCACGACACCGCCAGGTTGCGGGACGACCAGGACGGCGACAGGTGCCAGGGTTATGAGTGCCCCGGTGTCGGTTGCCTTGGGTGTGCTGAGGAGGTTTTTTTTGCCGTTTCTCCCTTCCGTCAATTGTTCGTTGTTTGATCTTTCTTTTTTGGTGTTGAAGCTCTCCCCGTCTTCCTCTCTCTCTCTCTCCCTCTCTCCCGTCATCCTCTCTCTCTCAGTCTCTCCTCTCTCCTGATCCTTCCTCTCTCATCTCATCCTCTCTCTCTCTCTCTCTCTCTCTCTCTCTCTCATTTTCTCTCTCTCTCCACTCTCTCTACTCTCTCTCTCTCCTTCATATCTCGCTACCTCTCTCTCTCTCTCCTCTCTCCCTCTCTCATCCTCTCCTCCCCTCCCTCCTCTCTCCTCCTCTCTCTTCATCTCCTCTTCCCATTCCTTCCCCCCATTCTCCGCCCTCCTTCTCCATACCTCTACCTAACTTTACATCTCTTCTCCCTTTTCTCTTGTTCTCCCTTTCTTTGCTTCCCTCAATCTCCTTTTCCCATTCCACGATCTAGTTTACCGTATCATGTTATTTATTAAAACTAGAGGCCTTGACTGTTTGACTGTGCTGCATCATTACCTTAATGAAGAGAGACAGGCAACAGACAACAGAACAGAAAATAGATAAGTGGTGTGGATGTGTGTGTGTGTGTGTGTGTGTGTGATTGTGTGTGGTGTGTGTTGTGTGTGTGTGTGGTGTGTGTGTTGCGTGTGGCGTGTGCGTGTTGTGTTGAAGGAGGGGGGGAAATCTCGGGTCGGAGCAAACATAATGGCTATCCCAGCTGTCCCACCTCGAGGTTGTTGGCTATTCCTCTTTCCCTCTTTTATGTCCGTCATCCTTCACCCTTCTTCCCCCTCCTCCTCTATTCCTCTCGTGGTCTTTCCTCTCGTCGCTTTCTCCTTTTACTCCCTTTCTTTCTTATCTCGCTCTTTCCGTAGTCTCTCTATGCCCTTTCTTCTTTTTCCTTTTTCTTTAACACATCACTTACTTTCCCTGGACCCCCAGGCCATGTTTTTTTTTTCGTTTACGGCCCCCCCCCATCCAATGCAATCCTCCACCCTCTCCATTCTCCACCACCCTCCCTTTCTTAACACCTCCCCTTACTTCCACTCTCCAGCACTGCCATCTCCTCGACCCCCTCCCTCCTGTCTTCCCCCGTCTTCCCACCTGCCTCCCCCTTCGTCCTCGCTCCTCCACCGTCTGTCCTTCGGGACCACTTCTTCCCACCCCGCTTCCTTCTGTCCTCTGCCTCCTCCAGCCCCTCCTGTCCTCCCACTCCAACCCACCCCCTTCCCCCTCCTCCCTTCACCCCTACACTCTGTCTCCGCCTCCTCCACCCACCTCCCTCCATCTCACCCTTATACCCCTCACTGTCCTCTCGCCTCCTCGACCACCGCCCGGCCCCCTCTCAAACCCCACACCCTCTCCCGTGCAGTGGCGTCGGCGCAACACACTCGAGGACCGAGCCGTGCCTCAAGCACCGCGCTGATGGAAAATCAATTTCAAAATTCATACCCGAGGATACTTCTCGAAGTCTCCGCAGGCGAGAACCTCACAACGGGTGTCGATGTTGTCCCTTCTTTGTCTCAGGCTGCTTGCCGCCTTGTCGCGCTCCGCTCGCTGTCGCGCCTCTCTCTCTCTCTCTCTCTCTCTGTCGGGCTTTTATTTCAATTCTCTCTCTCCCTCTCTCTGCTCTCTCTCCCTCGTCCTCTTCGTCCTCTCCCCCCTCCTTCTCCTCTCCGTCTCCTCCCTGTCTCTCTCTCTCTCTCTATCATCTCTCTCATCTTCTCTCTCTTCTCTGCTCGCCTTCTCCTCTCTCTCTCTCTCTCCTCCTGTCGGGGCTTTATTCTCTCTCTCTCTCATTCTTTCAGGCCTCTCTCGTCTTCCTTCTCTTCAGGCTCTCTCTCTATCTCTCTCTCTGTCGGGCTTTTTAATCTCTCTCTCTCCTCATTCTTTCAGGCGCGCCTCTCGCTCCTCTTCTTTTCACAGGCTCGTCGAGCGCTCCACTCTCTCTCTTTAGGCTCTCGCTTCCTCGCTCTTTCCGACTCACTCTACTCCTCTCTCTCTCTCTCTCTCTCTCTCTCTCTCTCTCATCCTCTCTCTCCATTCGAGGTCTCTCTCTCTCTCTCTCTCTCTCTCATACGTCTCTTCTCTCCTCTCTCTCTCCTCTCTTTCGCAGGCTTTTATATCTCTATGATTTCTTTCTCTTATCTATTTTAATTATCCTCACTTCTTTTCTTCTCCTCACCCGTTCTTTTCACTTTCACTTTCGTCTTTGCTTAATTTTAACACCGGTCATTCCCGCCTTCCCTGTCGTCTGAATATATAATTCTCGCGTCAGCAAGTGGCGTCTTCGGATTTCATATTCCTTTTCTGTTGACAAGTCTCTGTGTGAATAGGGACGATGGTCATGCAATTAAGGAGGGAGGGGAGGGAAGGGAGGGAGGGAGGGAGATGGGGTGGGGAAGGGAGAGTAGGAAATGAAGGAACAAAAGGAAACGAGAAAAGAGGGAGAGATAGGAAAATTTGAAATGGAAAAGCTTTACACTCTCCCTTCTCCTTCTCTCCTCTCTCCTCTTCTTTTCCCTCCTTCTTTCTCATTTCTCTTCTCTCTCTCTTCTCGTCTCGTCCTCCTCTCTCTCTC